ACTGACCTTTCACTGCACATGGAAAGAGAGGGACAACCACCAAAAGCAACAACTACACGACAATTGAAAGGAGTTCAAATGACCTGCATGCCCTAAAGGCGTCCAAAGACGTCATGGTTGATAATTTGTCAAAGAAATATTGAAAGAAAAACGTGTACAGTATACAAACCTACAGAATGAGATGACACGAATATTACTCATGGCAGAATAGTTCTGAGGCTATTTTGTCTCTAATTCAGTCCAGTATTAATGTACTTTTAGCATTTGGTGACAGCTGGATGGTTCTTCACACGGTGTTTGTGACATGCGTGCGCCATGATGTTTTCAAAACGTGCATAGAGTTGGGTATTATATTTGAACTTCCAAGTACATTGTCCTTCGAACGTGTGAGGCCCAGTCAGTATGCCTGGTCATATTCGTGTGGCGGTGATGTTTTGAATATACATCTGTCCAAGATGAAACATGTGTTCAACATTGAAGCAGAATAACTACATACACTGTAAAGTATTGTTGTCATCATACCCATGGCATCATTGGAACATGTTATCAGTAGGCATTGGGCCAGGTCTGTTTATAAGGATTCTGGGTACCTTCAAGACACATAATTCACAAAATGTACATGTACATGTATTTCAACAAACATCATTTAGTGTAAGAAATCACCAAGGTGATGATAAGAAAACAATCGTCTTCATATTGACTGTATTTACTGGTTTGAACAAATGTACAGCATACCACAAAAGGTACCAAAGCATAATCAATGTGAGAAGGTGTTTGAAGCGCCTTGATTCTGACTGTTTTTAACTACCTGATTTCTAGTTTATTTTTAAGAAAAAACACCTTACTTTTAATATGAATAAATGCCGACTTTCATGAAGCTTGTGATTCCTATTGACACCAACTCGATCTTTCTTTACACTCAACATGATCAGAAGGTACCATGATCAACATGTTCAAGATGACCAGGATGACCAGGATGGGTATGAGTGTTTATTGTCATGGCAGTGAGAGAACATCCTAGCAACCACACAGTCTTACCAGTAAAACCACAGTCAGAACAGCAGGAGTGAAAACAAATCACACAACACAACATCCTGATGTATAGGAATATTTTATTACAGATGGTGACATCCATGTTGTATGTCATGGGGGTATTTTACTGAGACATCTTTCACACAGAAAGACAGTGGTCCCAAGAAGGACGGCCATCACACAAGACAATACACCAGCAAACATATGTATATAGTGTATAGTGAGATCAAAATTATGCTGAAAACAATCACACACAAAGTATTTAATGGCTGCTTTGAACAGTATTCCAGTTATATCACAGCATGTCAGCTTATTGTTGGATTTCGTCAAAAGTGGTGAAGGCTTCAGATGTGTACCATGAGTGTGAGCTTGGTACTGACAAACACAGAAACCACACAACCAGGATTTAAACTGACAATCATGACTTTCCGGTGTGCCAAAGGGTGGAACTATGTAAAAAAGTGCAGTGCCTTAGGCAGCTGGGCCATCTAGGTGTCCATGAAAACAATACAATATGCAACAGATATCATAAAGTAGTTAAACCTAAATATAACATGCTACCCTTCACTCATAGAAATCATGTGTGTTTGGAGTAAACATTTGATATTCTGGGGCACTGGACAGTTTGATACAAATTACTTGTTCCTGGGAGATGCTCAAACAAATTATATATCTCTGGTCTTGAAAAAAATACAAAACACTGTTCACTTGAAACGCTCTCATATAGTCTGTGGGTCATAGCATACTGTTCGTGCTTTGTATATCAATACAAAAAAGTGTCCTTTGAAGCACTGACTTCAAAAAAGATGTTATCTCATACAAACTTTGCAGACATTCCAGTTAACATTAAATGGTGGCCAAGATTTCCTTCAAACTGACATAAGGCACATGGTGTCCACAAAACTTACTAGTGAGTGCCATCAGCACCAACATAGAAACAGGAAGTTGCCCTGTTGGAATGAAACTAAACCATGGGATACACATTTAACCCATTTCCTATTCAGTACCATACAATCAGAAATAATTTAAAGCTTCTGTTTGCATAGCAGTGAATAGGTATCTGGTAGGATGAGATGACAATGTGCCAAGAGCTTCTAAGGGTTATACTCCAAGCAGCTGTGCATGTAACATTGAGGAAGCACTGATCCACTGACCAGGGTGAGAGCTTAGAGCATGCTTAAAGTTGTGGACTTGTTGCATTATAGACATCTACATTAGTATTTATGCACATCTCTGTTAGCATGTATGCTACATTGCCCTTGAGATGACTGACAACCAGTGAACTTCAAAACAGGAATGGTTGTACTGGAATCACAAGGACATATGAAGAATGGAATGCATTGCTAAGAGTATCAATACATACACACATGAACCATGGCAGGAAGGCACTTCTTAGACAGGACATTCAACATGACATCACATATAACATAAATAACACCATAAATGTAAATTCACACTCATAAACTGAACACACACTAGTATTATGCAGCACCCTTAAGTATATGTAGATCACAAAAAAACAAAAATGAAGCTGTTCTCAGCTTGAAAACTGAGTGAGTGAGTTTAGTTTTATACCACACTCAGCAATATCCCAGCTATATGGCGGCGGTCTGAAAATAATCGAGTCTGGTCCAGACAATCCAGTGATCAACAGTATGAACATCGATCTACGCAACTGGGATACGATGACATCTGTCAACAAAGTCAGCGAGCCTGACCACCTGATCCTGTTAGTCGCCTCTTATGACAAGCATGGGTTACTGAAGCTCAATTCTAACCCAGATCTTCATGGGTAGCTTGAAAACCGTGTAAGAATCTACACCAAAATGCCGCTCGATGCAATAAACAATATAAAGTTGTTCACCACAAAGACATATGCTTCATTTTTTGACTCACCAACTTCTAGAATGCCAATCAAACAATCCCCAAAACAAGTTTCTACTACACAGTGCTACACAGAACGATAACTGTTTGACTCCTGTGTATTGTTCTCTCTCATTCTGCCTGCTACGCGGAATAGCCACTTCATGAACTGTTCAGCAGTTGCCCCAACTGCACACATTTGTGTAAGATCATTAATGAACAGACTGTTCCTAACTTGACTCACCTGAAGATTTAACGACAATCATTACACCTGTTAAAGCCTTGCATAACAATCAAAATGTAGTATAGCATTACAATCTGTAGTTATGATTTATCAGGCACCATTCATGAAAATCACTCAAATAACCATGGTTGAGAATGAATGAATATTTCATTCATAGATTCACATAAATATTAGATCATATTTCTATATATGCTGTTGAATCTGTTTCATATGATCACCTTTTGTAATCACTTGGTATCGTAACTATTTGCTAATGATTCATTGTGCTTGTGTAGCAGCACAATAGTGAGACTTCTTATGCTTATAGAAGAAGTATTGTCACTTCTATTTACAGTTGGGGGCCAGAATTTCATTGAGACATACACTCTTCAAAATAGTGTAAAGATTATGCACTTGGACAAAAAACACTCCAATAATGATTTCATATCATGGTGAACTCCTTATCCTTTGATATAGCATCGCACTACTCAATTAAAAATTGGGAACCCTGTTGATTATGTTAAGTTATATCAGCTGTACCCTGTTAATTTAAAAAAGACAAGAAATTCCTGTTTAAATATGATGACATTATTTACAAGAATGGCATTGCAGGTGATTATTTCACACTTCAATACAAAATCTCTTTATCCCAAAATCTGAAACATATTTTTATGAAACACTTAGTAAATAGTGGATTGAATATTTTTATTTTGAATTCTTATAGATCAACACATAATATCCAATACTTAGATATGTACTTAAAACACTTTGACAAAGCTATATTTGGTATGCAGTCAGTAATGGTATGTAGGATTGACTACCTTTCAGTTACTTTTGAGTTAGTTTTGTGTTTTCTGAATAAAGTTTAAACCATTCATATTCCTTGGGCTATTTAAACAGAAGCTAATACAAGACTTTATATGTCATGTCATGTTCTTATAATTTTCTGTAAATCTGAATGGTATTCCTTAATTCACTCCTTCAAGCTGTGCAAAAACCAACTATTTTGAAACACACAACCATATTGCCATCAGACGGAATAAAAACTTGCAATACTTAGGGTAAAATACCATTCCGTGTTATGACATCTGGATGAGAAAAAAATTATGAAATGACTTATGTAACATTCAAGACAAACTTCACAAATATAGGAATATAGATATTGGCACTATAAAAATAGCATATATATGGAATACTCTTATGTAAACAAAATCAACAATATAAATAGCAAGATGGTAATACAATATACAATAAATACATACATTTTCAAAACACATACTGACTCATGCTGTCACCAAGGCTATATTTGATTATGAGGTATTTGAAAAAAACACCTGATTTTCACAAAACACTTTAATCATAGCACACACACAATGGAAGACAAGTACCCCTGACCTGGAAAACCCCTCAAATGCCATGAAAACCAATCATAAACAAAGAGCTTATATAAGGCATCTGAAAGTTTACTTCAGGAACCTTTCCTTGTGTCTGTATGTACTAGTATCTGAGGGGTATTTCAAAAGTAGTCGGCCTAACTATATTCTCAATGTCCAATGTTAGAAAAGCTTCCATTTTATTTTGAAGGAATCATTAATCCGAAATCCAAATCCAAAATTTCACATATGCGGTTAACGAGATGTTCGTCATCACAACACATTGGGGTATAATATTTCTTCAAAAATTGCAGAAAGTGAAAAATGATCTGTCATTTTGTACCTCTTGGATAAAGGTATGCCATATAAAATATGTTCAGTATAGTATTGGATGACTCCTGTCATAATCAACAGTCAAAGATTTGGATTGGTTGATTTATATTTAGACGGAGCTGTTTTCAAAGGACATCCCCATTTTAATCCAGATATTCAAGCTGGCACTGTTTACAATATATTGAGTGCTGACACTTGTGTGACCATCAGTATTTAGTTTGAACCCTTGGCATCATTTTACTTCCTTAAGTGGCATATAGAAGCTGGCCACATGTATAAATATGTGAAAACATTAGAATGAATTATGTCCTTATGATTACGTCATCTGAAAGGGGTTGGGTAGTGTCTCCAAAACAAGCACTTTCAGTAAACATCACGGGGGAGTCACTTTAACAAGCTATAGTAGTTTCAAATTGCATTTTTATGCACTTTAATATCTATGTTTGATTCTAGAAGACTTCTGCCTATCTGAAACACACAAAATGTTTCTTGCATATTGGGGGGTACCAAGATAAACAGTCAAACAAAACGAGGATCGTGGGCCTGGAACATGGCAAAAGCAATTTGCTTGAGGTTGACAGATAATATGTGGAAAAATAAAACATAAAAATAGCTGCATTTGTATAATTTTCTAGGTGAGGCCGACTACTTTGGGATGCCCCTCGTATATCATGACATAAAGAAACACCTTTTATGTCCTTACCTTCTGAAATAAATAAGATATAACAGGGACTGACAAATGTCATTGTTACAGGCAGCCAAGAGGACCACTGCCACAGAAACACTTGTCACATAGAATATGTACAAAACATTACTTGTGCATGTCTGTGTGTGCATTTGTAAGTATGTGCATGTAGTTGTGTGTGCATCTGTGTCTGCATGTGTATACAAGTGCATTTATGTGTGTGTATGTCTGAGTAAGTGAGTGAGTGAGTGAGTGAGTGAGAGAGGTTGGAGTGGGAGACCTCTAACCCATACATATATCATCTGTTAATGTCAATCATCTTCAGAAGAAACTATGACAATATTGCCTGATAAAGCGACCATTCAAACCAGGTGTCATAGCATTAATATCATGCCCAACACATATTGCAAATGAACAAGGCAATAAATTGCATACATGTAGAGAAAGCCAATCGACCAACCAATCACTAACATGCCATAAATTGGACGGTACCTTGAGCTGCCACAAAAAATCTCTCATTGTCCCATGTTTCCCACCTGAGGAGCACAAACCTCACCAAAGGAACAGAAAGGGGTCAATGGAAGTTATAAATCCTGAAACAACTTAATTAACAAGGGAACGCGGCTTTGGTGGCAAGGAAAGGTTTTCAGGGAAGATTTATAAACACTCTGTTGTATACAGCTGTGATAAATATACACTGGGCAAGCTCCTCAAAGTTCAAAGTCTAAGATATAGCATTGTATTGACCACAGTTTAAGTACAACATAGAGTAGGATAGTTTTAACTTGCAGATAATGGCAAATTGACTGCAATAACATATGCACTTAAAGTGTTAGAGGTAACATTTTGACTAAGTATTTTGTTCCAGATCAATGGCACAAATCCATTTCATATGAATTACAGCTTTTCATGACCAAAGAATCAAAGTGTAAAGTGTAATAAAACAGTATTAGTGTGGAACATAACCTACTAGCTTGTTTGTCAATATGATGTAACAAATGAAAGTCACAAAATAATTCACAAGACATCTGTTCATACAAAAGTATTTGGAAGGCAACATTTTGTAGAAATTTCAAAACATATAAAATAATTTCTTTGATCAGTTCATTGGAAAAATCTCATTATTATAGTTTTAAAAGGAAGACGTACAAAGACTGTTTGAGTTGGCAAGGAAATATTCAATAAATAAGTAATAATAACAAATAAACAATACTATGACTTTTCTCAGGTAAAGTGTTTATACAAACTGAGATTTTCCTTAAGCAGTACATGTACTGGCAGTATGTATATTGTAAATGCAGCATAAAATACCTTATTTAGGACATCTGAAGGACCTGTATTGGTAAACATTTTGGCATAAATATGACAAACAACTTTGAGCCAATCAGAAAATGACATGGTCATAAATATATAAACAGGTGTAAAGTATGAATATTATGGAAGACTATGACTTGGATTTATTTGGAACTGTAACTTTCAGTGAGTTTACGCTGGAGAACAATCACTTGTCTTTCAAGTCTGAAATAAATGAAAACAATATATGAATATAAACAACATCAGGCCAGAGATGAGTCAATATTATTTGTCTTAGAACATAGAGTAATAGGTGGTGGAGAACTGTGAGTGGTCATGGATGGACATGAAAGTGAGGTCAGTCATGGGTGGTGTGCGATGTGGTAAAATCTCCATAGCAGGACAGGATGATGGTATGGTAAGTAATGGGTGGTGTGTGATGTGGTAAAATCTCCATAACAGGACAGGAAGATTGTATGGTAAGTAATGGGTGGTGTGTGATGTAGTAACATCTCCATAGCAGGACAGGAAGATGGTATGGTAAGTAATGGGTGGTGTGGGATGGGATGTGGTAAGCCATGGTTGTTGGGAGATGGGGTTTGGTAAGTGCTCCAAAGCAAGACAGGAGGGAGGTGAGGTAAGCAATAGGTGGTGTGGGATGGGATGTGGTAAGCCATGGTTGTTGGGAGATGGGGTTTGGTAAGTTCTCCAAAGCAAGACAGGAGGGAGGTGAGGTAAGTAATGGGAGGTGGGAGATGGGATGTGGTAAGCCATGGTTGTTGGGAGATGGGGTTTGGTAAGTTCTCCAAAGCAAGACAGGAGGGAGGTGAGGTAAGCAATGGGTGGTGTGGGATGGGATGTGGTAAGCCATGGTTGTTGGGAGATGGGGTTTGGTAAGTTCTCCAAAGCAAGACAGGAGGGAGGTGAGGTAAGCAATGGGTGGTGTGGGATGGGATGTGGTAAGCCATGGTTGTTGGGAGATGGGGTTTGGTAAGTTCTCCAAAGCAAGACAGGAGGGAGGTGAGGTAAGCAATGGGAGGTGGGAGATGGGATGTGGTAAGCCATGGTTGTTGGGAGATGGGGTTTGGTAAGTTCTCCAAAGCAAGACAGGAGGGAGGTGAGGTAAACAATGGGAGGTGGCAGATGGGATGTGGTAAGCCATGGGTGCTTGGGGATATGATGTGAAAATGTTTCAGGGAAGGGAGAGGAAGGAAGTGAGGTGAGCAATGGTTGGTGGGGAGGGGTGTGCTTGATATATTTCACTAAGGGGAGGGAGGTGAGGGGTGTGGGGCAACCATGGGTGGTGGGGCTGGTTTTGTGGTCAGCCATGGGTGGTGCAGGGAGGGGTGTGATATATTGTACCAGGTGAGGTCAACCATGGGTGGTGGGGAGGGACCAACAAGTGTGGTCAGCCATGGGTGGTGGGGAGAGGGTGTGATATATTGTAAGGGCAGAGGGAGGAGAGGAAGGAAGTTTGGTCAGCCATGGGTGGTGGGGAGGGGTGTGATATATTGTAAGGGGAGGGAGGGAGGGGTGTGGTCAGCCATGGGTGATGGGGAATGGAGTATCGTGAACAATCAGCCATGGGGTGTGATAAGCTATTGGTGATAGTGTGATATGAGTGTTGGGATGGGAGTAATTGGGTGTAAACAAAAACAAGAAAACCACATTTAATGCATGTTACATAATGGTTTACTACAGACATGTCCTTGCCATACCCTTAACCTGAGTGTATCAAAATTGTGAAAGCTCCTGTTTTTCTGCATATTTGTCGTGCAACTCTGGACTAACAACATACTAGCTATAGTGTCCTGTAAACAACTGAAGCAGGATAAGACAATTTAGAAACTGATAATGTGAGCAAACTCAGCAATGTCGGAGTTCGATAATATGGAATGAACCAAATAACCAAGCTTGACCACCCAGTCCATCAGGTCACCTCTCATGACCGCACAGGTTACAGTGGACCATTCTCTAACAGGATAAAAGTACATGATGGGACTGACCACAGACGGAAGCTGAAATTTTTATGTGATCATAAACTTTGTGAGATTCTTTTATATGTCAAATTGATAAAAATATCACAGGGCCTGATTAAATAATGGCACAAAAAATCAAAATTAAATTCATTGACCATGAGAACTGAACATGTTGATTTATGATGCGGACAATGAAATCAGGTTGTAAGTGACAGGTTAGGCTGTTGTTTATAAGCCATATGCTGTTAATCAATACAGCGACACCTGGTAGCCAGGCATACTGGCATGAAACAAGTAACACAATCTCTATAGGAAAACAGCATCCGAAGGCTGTTATACTAGCTGGTCTGTCTGTAAGTCTCGCTGTAGGGGTTGTGGGGCATAATATTGGGGGAGATTATGTAACATATGGCTTGTGGATTTCATCAATAAAGACATACAAGCCTGAGTTTAACAATAAGAGAGTTACAGACAAAGGGAGATGACTCCAACTTGATAGAACTATACACTCAAATACTTCTCAATTCAGTGTCTTCCCAACAATGGCATGCAATGCATATTTCATGATTATGCTTGATGTAACTAAATCATGTTATTTAAATGTTGTGATTAGTGGGCCCAGAAAAATGTCAAAGATTTCAATGCAATTTCATTACATTGAGCTATGTGGCTAAGGTTAATATGGTGAGTGAGTGAGTGAGTGAGTGTGTTTGTGTGAGTGAGTGAGTGAGTGGGTGAGTGAGTGGGTGAGTGAGTGAGTGAGTGAGTGAGTGAGTGAGTGAGTGAGTGAGTGAGTGAGTGAGTGAGTGAGTGAGTGAGTGAGTGAGTGAGTGAGTGAGTGAGTGAGTGCACTGAATCTAGTAATCCCGGTTTATCACAGCATTTCAGTTTGATGTGGGAGGAGAGACTTCTCTCATAAGGTCAAATCAGGTAATCTAATCATGTGACATTATTTCCATATTAATGACAAAGATATTTAAGTGTAGCCAACCAGTGAATTGCATGACAGCCTGTTGGAGACCACTGTCACGTCATCTGATACTAAAATCAAATGACATCCCACATCACTGTTACTGAAGAAGGTTAGCCATACTTTTCACACTCAAGGCATTGGTTATTTTTGTTTGCAAACTGAGAAAGCTGGGGGAGGTGAGGTGAAATGTGGTTTGATGTCGTATTTTGCTCATATGACGACGTGCATGCGTGTGTGACGACGTGCATGCGTGTGTGACGATGTGCATGCGTGTGTGATGACGTGCATGCGTGTGTATGTGTGACTGCTTGTACTAGCCCAGGCTTAAGCTGATTTTATAGTGCTAGCTCACTGAATACCATGCCACAGTTAAGCATAAATACCCTCAGATCATGAACACCCTCTGAGTTGACCAGTCCTTGTTGTACCCATTAATGCCGAGCGCCAGTCAGGGACCAACAAGTACCATATTTCAACGTCTTTTGGTATGACACGGCCTTGGGTCGAACCCGCGACCTTCCGCTCTCCGGGCGGATGCTCTAATCACTACACCACGGAGGCGGTCAAAAGCTGGAAGAAGGATGCTTGATAACAAATAGAATCTCACGTTCATGTCTTTGGTTGTCTAAGATATCAGCACTCATTGCTAAAAGATTAAGACTCTTCAGAGTTTTAATGATGCTAAAGTACTGACACTATCAAAAATAAGAACAAAATCAGGGGTAGAAATAACTTTAAAATTGCTAGTGTACTCCGGTACAGTGGCACATGTAAAATCACTTGCCCTGATAAGTTTTCCACTATACCGTCCGTTTTCTTGTTGATTTTTTAAATAAACAACACTATTAACATTGGAAAGTCAACTGGACACCGGTACAGTGTGATATACAAGTTTGCTTGCCCGACAGAAAAAAACACACTGGACGTCGGGCAATGGGTTATTTCCACCCCTGAAAATAGGCAGGAAAATCCATGACCAACTGTTTCTGGCAGTTAAAAGGCAAGCAAGCAAATTTGCTTCATTTTGTAAGTTGGGTTACCATTTCCATGGCGATACTTACCGCTTGTTGTTTTCCCTGGTGGTCTTCAGCTGTATGTTCAGGTCATCCCGCTCCAGCTTCACATGTTGCAGCTGCGTCTGAAGCTGGTTGTTCTCCTCCCTCCACTGATTGTTCATGAGTCGAAGGTCGGACATGTCCTTGAGAGGTCCATCAGCAGGCCATATCCTCTCCTTTTCTGGTTCCTCCATGGGAGAGCACCTGGATTTGTCCTTCTGTTTCTGGGCATCTAGGGTATTGTGGATCACTTCTGGTGACAAAGACTTCTGAAGGCTAGAAAATAAACACAAGCACTGTAAAATCATTGCAATGATGTATAGTGATTGACAAATACACATCAGTCTGACAAATGTATCTGCAATACAAACACTCCATTTGAAAACCTTCTATGGATTACAACTGAACAGAAAATTGCAAACCATATTTTGAAACAAAACTGATGAATGCAAGCTGGAGATGTCAAAAAGGAAAATAATTTAAACAAAAGGACTCTCATCATCAACCTTTGAAGGAAAATTGCTCAGTCATGCACTGCTTGTGCTGTGTGTGTGCAATACTTTTAAAATATTGCTGGGCAGGTGGGCTAGCTAGCATGAAATTTACAAACCAGATTCAAATTTCACTGTATGCAACAGTTAACTTTTACTGAAATTTGAATCAACAAAGGTGTTTCATCATGTCAAATATTATGAAGAGCGGTAACTGATCTTGCGACTCCACATAAATACCCATATCATTTAGATTACTATACTCATGGAAACAAATAAGGGAACACATGAACATACACATGTTCCTTTATTCATTTCCAGAATTTCACCCACTGTGCAATACATACCTTGTGAAGAAACCTGGAAAAGAATAAAGGAACACTTGTACTTTCATGTGTTCCCTTACTCGTTTCCATAAGTATATTTTTGAGGGTCATATTGATCTACAGATATGGAGTATGCCAAAAGAAATATGAACTGATATCAGTTAGAACCAGAAAAAGATATCATTGCTAGAAAAATCTAGAATTAACCTATTCAGAAAAAGACAAACAAGAAAACCTCTTTCAAAGTGGTAAAAGTTTTTAAAAGAAATTGTATACCTGCCGTAACACATTGTGATCAGACTTATAATAGTTGAAAAAGATACCAACCCCCAAAACATACAGCTCTCTGCTAAATTGCAATAATGTACAAAGTTTCTGAATGACCATCAAATAATCATTACAGAACATGCCAAAATATATACCTACTACATAAAATACACACTTACAAAGTACCTCTGCAATGGTGACATTGACCTTTAAACGTTGTTGATATAACAGCTATAACATACTCAATCTTCCTTCACCTTACAAGCTCAAGGTGCACTCTGAGGATTATATATAGATATATATACAAACTTTTATTCAAAGTCAGATGTCCATTCAAAGTAAACTACCCTTATGACAATCTTTGCAACCTTTCTCATTCACATGTTAAAACTGATATATAAATATGAGTGATAAAACAATTTCCATAATCATAAGAGGCTTCCTTTTAAAACAATATTGTACGATTCCCACTATACCCCAAGCATGAGTCTATGAATGACTAAGAATTCGTGAGTGAGTGAGTGAGTATGGTTTCTACGCCACCTTTAGCAATATTCCAGCAATATCACGGCGGGGGACACCAGAATGGGCTTTACACACTGTACCCATGTGGGGAACTGAACCCGGGTCTTCAGCATGATGAGCAGATCCTTTAACCATTAGGCTACCCGATGCCCCGACTATGAATTAGTGATTATATATGAAAAGTTTATGTGTACACAAAAAGGTAGACACTAAGTACATAGCACAAATACATGCAAAGACAAGTCAATTATTCACCTAAAAGCATGGGAACATATGGCACAAGTCAAACTAGAGATCATCTGGCATTGCAGTTTTTGTTACAACATTCTGAGTTGCTTGTTACAACATTCTGAGTTGCTTTGTTACAACATTCTGAGTTGCTTGTTACAACATTTCTGAGTTGCTTTGTTAAGCATGTGGAAGAAAAATCCACTCAAGAACCTTTTCCATGCTGATGAACAATATTGTAGTTGATTGAATCTATGACATTCAATCACTCAAGATCTATCATCAGTTAGATTTGTTCATTCAATTTAGCTCATCAGGTACAGACCACTCCATCCACTCCGGCCCCAATCCATCTAACAAATCAGAATATGATCTTCTTGTAGAAACCAATGAATATAGAATCAGCCATGCTATCCAACAGTACTGTCCACATCAAGCTGTGGAACTCAATCCTAAGTCAACGTCATCCACTAACACTACCTCTGGAGACAGAACACTGGAGCATTGTGGCAATATGGTGGGTGATGACAACATCAACACTAACACAAGGTCCGCCACACTGCCCACTGAAATCTGACCTGCTGATATACACACAGCAAACCCTTTCACGGCAACCTGTCCTCAAGATATGACACCTCCAAATGGACCAAGTTCCCCCCGGGAAAAAAGGATCTTGTTCTTTTGGTTGCTGCCTATGAATGGGGTTAGGTTAAGTGTACGAAATGTACAACATTTGTGTGGTCAGGTCTGTCATCTAGAACTCGGATTAGACATGAAGTTGTCTGTTACTAAAATATAACATAACAAACTTTTATATTTTTTTGTCTAGCCCTTTGTGTGTTCTGAGTGCATAAAAACAACTTATTTTTGGAACAATGTTTCTTATCAAAATTTTGTTGCTGCATTTTCGTTGCTTTGCGGTTACGTGTGACATAAACAACATCATAATAACCAGAGTCTTCTCCAGTCATGTATGAACTTCTTGTCAAACTGTTCATTGTGAAAACATGTTATTTGAAGATAAGGTAAAACCAATATGTCCATGATGAGAGCATAGTCTCATGCATTATTAATGATAATTTACTGAAATCACATCAACATCTAACCAAAAAATATTTCTTTTATCTCTTGCAGAGATGTCACTGGAAGATGCCAGGAGTGGTGTCAAACCCATCTCACTCATTCACTCTGCTAAAAAAATAGAGACTCCAATTTATTTTTTGCAGAATCTGAAGTCATATTCCAGGAAAGAACCATCTATCTGGACAACTGGATGTTCATGTTTGAAACACATCTCTAACTGACTGAGTTTGGTTTTACGCCGCTTTTAGCAATATTCCAGCAACATCACGGCGGGGGACACCAGAAATGGGCCTCACACATTGTACCCATGTGGGGATTCGAACCCGGGTCTTCGCCGTGACGAGCCAACGCTTTAACCATTAGGCTACCCCACCACCCGAAACACATCTCTAAGGGACTGGTACACAACGTTGCATGTATTTAGGGAATGATGATAGAATGTAACCCAAAAAGGGAGGAGGGATGTCATCAGTAATGAATCATCACTCAAAAAAGGATTTAGGAAATGATAAAGTCTTAAATACAAACTCAACCAAAATGCCAGCACCTAAAACAAAACTACCTTATCCTGTTTCAAAATGGAGCTATATCACAATATTCTTATCATCTGCATCCCAGTAAAATTGTCCAATGACTTAATGTGAACATCAGAAAAAGGATTTGGCTGGCTTACCATCATGCTAATGATGCATTCCCTCCAGGAAGTATCACGTCCCTTACATGAAAAGAATCAAATTCTCTCCAAATGCTGGCTTTGAATGACTTACGCTGATGTCTTTGATATTTGATGGACCGGAGGGACAATATCAGTGCTGGATGTTTAAACATGAAATGGAATAGTTTTTGATCTTCATTACTTACAGGGGATCCCTGGACAAAGAGAGATTCCTATATTTATAGTGGTTTACTCTGTAATATGTTTTACATCATGAATATAAAATAGCCGGACAATTTTCAAAATGTCCATATAGAATATGAGGAGCAACCAAATACACAGCTACTAAGGGCTTACTTAAACTGAATTTATCATTCTGAAAGTGAAAAAGAACCTTTTAATAATTTTGTAAAATTCATGGTTTTCAAATTAGAAAGCATAAAAAGGTTTGGTTTGTTGTGTTTGTTGTATAACGCAGCACTCCACAGCATTCCAGCTATATGGCAGAAGTCTGTAAATACTGGTATTGGTGACCTTTACTCCATTGAACACCTACAGTACTGGGGACCTATACTCCCTTGAACACCTACAGTATTGGTGACCTATACTCCCCTGAACACCTACAGTACTGGGGACCTATATTCCCATAAACACCTACAGTACTGGAGACCTATACTCCTTTGAACGCTAACAGTACTTGGGACATATACATCACCAAAACCCAGGTGGGAAACAAATTTCACATTGTGACCAGTGTAAGAGGAAGAAGGTGGAAATGAGAACATGGCTGCCACTAGTGTACTGCCACCTGTGTTGTGCCCACCTGTAGGCTAGCTGTGTGTGCTGCATGCTCTCCTCCAGGTGTTTCACCTTCCTCAAGGCAGCATCCCTCTCCTGCTGTAGGACCTGGAAACAACACAAACATGACTACAATGTTCAACTTGATCCAGTTTCAGGCACACAGCGGTACCAACCACTTCTTAAGGCAAAGTATAGTATCTTGGGATCTTCAGGTGGAAAATACAATTTGTTCCATAGTATTGTGAGAAGAGTGAAATGGTCATATGCTGGCATGTAATGACTGATCAGGAACTGCCACAGATCTTGATCTGTGGGACTGTGACTTATGTAGCAAACACTAAAGTGTGAACTTACTGGTACTTAGAACCTTGGCAAACACCTTATCTGTCAGAGAGCTCCATACCTTAAGGTCATAATTGTGTGAAATGATTCCCATATTTCCATAGTACTTTATAATAATGAACCACAAACCAAAGCCAATTTTTATAGGAGATTTCAAAGTTTAATGCATTTTGATGCAAAAAGTCTGTTTGGCCATTGGCATGTCTATATGAATTCATGCTGCAATACATCCAAAAATTGTTCCGGGTTAGAATATTGATCTTCAGTAACCCATGCTTGTCATAAGAGGCGACTAACGGGATCGGGTGGTCAGGCTTGCTGACATGGTTGACACATGTCATCGGTTCCCAGTTGTGCAGATCGATGCTCATGCTTTTGATCACTTTATTGTCTGGTCCAGACTCGATCATTTACAGACCACCGCCATAGAGCTGAAATATTGTTGAGTGTAGCGTAAAACTAACTCACTCACTCACAGCCAAAAATTGACACTATTTGGAGTTGGGTTTCTTTGCTGGTAAGACAATGCTTAGCAATATTGGCAGTCTGTAACAAGTCTGGACACGAAGATCCAGTGATTGATACTATGAGCTATTGGGGTACAACTAGAGGCATGCAAACAACCACGTCCCGAGACTGATCTGCAAATCCATTACTACCAGCACAAGTTGCTGGGGACCTCTCCAACCTGGAATCCCCAAGACAATCTACCAATAATTGGAAATGGCAAGATTGATGAATAACTCAAGGTTCAGACTACTGCAATATTGTGGCACAAATCGGGCACAGTATTGTGTGACCTTGTATTAATGCAAGACAATATATATTAATATGTAAAATGGAATAAAAGACTTCAACTGCAAAACACAATTTCCTGACTGAGCACTCAACAGATCTTATGCCATAGTTATGTGGACTGAATCAATATTTTAAAAAAGTTTTGTTTGTGCTTCAATAAATTCCCTTTGTTTTTGGAGTGAGTGAGTGAGTGAGTGAGTGAGCAAACATTGTTTAACACCGCATCAGCAATTTGTTTATGGAACAGCCTCTAACAACAACGAGGAGAGTTCTGGATATACAACTTCTTTAATATAATATGAGCGACATTTCGTTTAACAGTGTTAGTGGCTACACTGTTATGTTGCTCATATCATATTAAAGAAGTTACTCGTTGTTCATCACTCCAACTTCTAAATGCCATTTAAAGACGTCAGCCTCTAACAATAGCAAATCTTACATATCATATTGTGTATAGCATCCAAAATCACAGCCAGTACAGTCGGTTAAGTATTCTGTTCAACTATTCAGCCAGGAACAACTCCAGAGGACATGCATATTTACATAAAACATGACAAATATATCATCATCATCATCATCCAATTATATTTAAACTAAGCATTAAAAACATGAAACTACAACCGTAGACCATAGTGCATGATCACTCAATACTGTGTTTTCACCTTGCATATCTGTTCCCCTGTTGTAGATAATACACAACAGTGCCAGGGAAATATACAGAGAACTATACAACAACAGCAATGGACGTCCATAATCAGCTGTAGTTTTGCAGAAAATAATAACCATTGTCAGATCATTTCAAATGCATTGTCTCCTAAATACTATGGCTTTTTGCAAAAAATCAACAAGGTTTTCAATTCTACTCAAACATCAAAGAACATCACAAGAAAATCTATATCAAATTGGAATCATACAGCATGTGCACTTGCTCATTCCTGTCCATTAACCATTACCTGAATACCATATTACATTCAGCTCTCTATCTTCAAACACATTTCTGAAATATACCATACCTAATTAGTAATCGAAATCACTTCAGATAGCAAATTATCTTTTTAAACTGCTGATAAAAAATTTAAACTTAAGCCAGTTTGAATGGAATCAGTAATTGGCTGAAAACCAACATGAAGAATGGAAATCAGCAAACAGCTTTGTTTACCCAAAATTAACACACAATGCTCCTTCAGATTTGAAATTCAAATTAATTTACACCTTTTCATTGTGTGCTGTAATACATATTTTATCGTAGAACATTGCTTGAAGCCTCTAGTTCATGACCTTTCGTGTGAAACAACATCCCTGATGCCTGGCCATGAAAACAAGGAAGGTTGGGAAAACTGACAAGGTGGATTAACGAGCCCCTTCAGGTGGGAATGGCAGCTAATTTACATGTGTACAAAGCCCAGGTGGATGATAGCTCATGTCATCACACCACTAATTGGTCCAAATTTGTAAGTGAGGAGATAGCTCGCGTCTACAGCACGCGTCTAAATTGGATGAAAATGAAACTGTACGTAGAGGACGAGTTGGACGATGAAAATCGGCAACATTGCCACAGCCGGTGAATTTCAAACGAAACTGATGGGAAGAAAATGGCTTTGAATTTTGCACAAAAGCAAACATTGGCAACAGAGGCCGTGCAGTGACATGAAGAAGAATCAATGTGGCGTGCTGTCCTGAGAATTGCCGGAGATTCTCTGCGCCCGTTTCACCATATTCGTAGTGTTTATTTTTCATGTCTGGGCATGCTAATGATAGAATGACTTGATACCCGCTTCCTGATTCAGGAACATATTAATACACTCCCGCACTCAGATGAGACCAAGATGAAATTGTAGAACTTAGGAACAAAGCCCTTACACATCCATCCCCCATTCATTAGCCTGTAGGCCTTGTGTTGTCAGCTAATGAGTGAAAACGGCTTGTTTTCTTACCTAAAATCCTCCACCAGGGAAAGATTTTTTGATAGAAGTTTATGTTTTTTAAAACACAAGAATTTCCCTTCTGAATGTTAATGATGTTTGACAGCGGGAAAGTTTTTTAAAAAGAGTTTCATTTAAAAGGAATAAATTTTACCTGATTCTTGGGACTTTACTCTAAATTGGGTCTAAACGCAAAATTTATGTATTGACTGAGAGGATTTGGTCCTTCACATTTTAGCATCCACAATTATCAAAACCTAATCTGTCCATAATGGTTTCTTTGACATAAGCCCTTATGTCAGAAAAGTGAACGTAGTTCCTTTGAAGCATAAACACATCAATATCTCCCTGCTTTATAGTCACTTCTTTAATAAAACACATTAAACATTGGAGAAAGTACAGACAACCCAGGATTACATCATTAGTAATTATCTTCAATATTATATGAAAAAATAAAGGCACAAAACAACATGCAAGCATCCCCAAACAGAAAACATTGCAGAAATTCTGCAATAATTTCATCATTTTCTAAAATATTTACACAGATACAAACATAACTTACTGATCCACAATTCATCATTAAGGCAACAAAGAACCTTTCATTGTACAAAAAATGAAAAAGGTATATTTACATGAGTGTCATTTGGCTATTTGACAAATGACATGGACGTGAAACATGTTCTGGGCGATCTTCTTCACCACCGACTAAACTTGCCACAGATTTAGACGATTCATGAAAACCAGCAACCAGCAATCAAAATTCGCTCAAAAACAACAAATCCATGTTGGAAATGATGACAAAGCGACCTCCAACTTTGACGAGAGATTAGAAGCAAAGCTGTTCATGTAGGGATTAGCAAAGCCCCAATTCACTTCTGTGTCGGCCTATGGATAAAGCACTAATCCTGGGATTATTACACAGGTTTTTACTAAACACTCTAATCTATCATGGCCTCCTAGCCAAGAAACTGTCAGTTGGGATGGAGAGTTCTGCATTCTTTCTGAAATGTTTAGAATTTGATGTCAGATTGATATCTTCAAGGAAATAATTTTTTATTTGGTTGTTTAGGCAGGTCAAAGCAGAGTGAGGGAGATACCTTCCATTTATGTGTTCTTTTTTTTAACTTTTAAGAAATACCGGGGAGGGAAATGTACTTTATCCTTATTTTGATGGGAGACCCTTCAGAGAGTATGCATTAACAAGTGAAACAAGTGAAATAATAAATACAATGTGCATAGAATATTTTTCTACTCATTAATTGAAATACACATCCTTCTGTAATTCCAGCTGTCATATATTAACACCTGCAACACGACTGGCTGAAATATTAAACCAATGTAAAAGTGCAAAAAGTAGCAAAGAAAATACTATACCGTGTCAGACACAACAGAGAGAGGATGTTCACAATTTTCCTCTCATTCTTAATACCAGGAGATAAAATTACTTAATGGTATTAGATTGGCAAGAAATTCTCGTATTTTCCGTTCCATTGATATGTAAAACAAAAACCTACACTGTCATACCTTACAGACAAATATCTGTAATCAAAGTACATTTTAGTGTTAACACTCTATTCCAAATTTGTCCTTGATCTCGATCCGTTTCTTTTTTAAAGTTTGGAAGTAATTATTCGATGTATGACAGAAAGTCTTCCCAGTAAATGTAAAGTTTGCACAATATGTATCCCGAAGATGCCACACTGAATCAAAGACAAGAGACCTTCAAGAGTGCTTTCCTGAAATATTTGAAAAATTCATGAAGATTTTGGATCTTTAGTCATGGGATTTAGCTGCTCGCGGGCTTCTTTTCGTACTTTGTTGACATCACCTACGGATTGGGGCGATTATACCTGCGAGCTTTTGTCAGTGCGTTGTGGGATAGGTGGAATGGGATCGATTTTCGGCATTTCTGTTGCGGCTTGGGACATGCCGTTGCCATCACAACAGGGCGCGGCACGGAGCAGCCACATCCTCTTGACCCTGGTTTTGAGAGTGACAGTAACACATGGAGGAAAGAGATATCGGGCTAATCAACTGTCAATT